GCTGATCAGTTTCAGCAGCAGCTGACTTGGGGACGCTTGGGGTTCTTAAGTTGATTCTGTATGTAAGTCGGAACTGGCGGTCAGTTTCAGCAGCGGCTGAATCCGGACGCCAGTTCCGACTTACATACAGATTCAACTTAAGAACAAACCTACAGTCCCTATCTTGTACGTAACCCGGGGACTGCCTGTATATGCTTCATAATATCTCATATTTCCTTATGATACTCTTGAATAACTGTGATATACAACACAACCAAAAGCCATGTTCATTTTACTGTTTAATTATGAATTATGGAAATGTTAAACAAAATATTAATTTGTTTATAACTTTTTTTACCAGGAGGAGTATTACGTTATAAAGGAAAATGTCTTTTTTTTCAAAAATATTATTGCAACCAGAAGTTGAAGAGTACCTTGGGAATGTATTTAGAAATAAGGAGGTATGTGTTAACTGTAACTCTGTCAGTCTATATAAACAAATTTACCTTTCCTTGATTGAATGTGGAACTATGCAACTAGGGATGTTGGGGTATAGATGTTTAAATGATTAACCCATAAGCCTGGGCTTATGGGTTAATCAAAACTACTACACACAAGCTCCCCCCCCCACTCCCCCATCTGTAACAGAGGCAGCAAGGGGAGGGGTGGCGTGAGCCCTGTGCCGATAGGGAGCTGGTTTTTAACCAGATGCTGCCTCCCCTGCTGCCTCCCTCTTAAAAGCTGGTTCCTTACAGGCACCAGCAACTCCTCCTCCACCCCCCCACCAACCACATGCACAGGGGGATAGGAAAGGCTGCTGCAAAGCATGCTCTGCTCATGGGGAGCTCAGGCCCCCTGCAGACGGGCTGCTGCTGCCCCTTGTTGCTGCCTCTGATATAGAGACAGCAGCATTGTGTTGCAGGTGTCTCCCCAGGAGTGGGGCCAAGAGCTACAGTGCACTGGCTGCTAGCCCCACCCTTGGGGACCATTTTAGTAAACCTATAAAGCAGCGTTTCCAAAACTATAGGGCATGGCCTGGTACTGGGCCACAGGAAAAAAATACCGGTCCTCATCATGGCTGCCAAGAGGGGAGCAGAGCGGGTCGGGCGGGGAGGGAAACCAGCTGCCGGGAAGCAGGGTTGGGAGCAGCGGGGCTGTCCCACAGAGATGGGGGTGGGGGTGGCGAACGAAGCAGGGTTGTGGGTAGTAGGACTGTCAGGCAGCGGAGATCAGAGAGGGCAGGTGGCGGAATCAGGGCTGCACGGGGGAGAGGGAGCTGGCTGGGGGAGATCAGGAAGAGGAGAATGGGAGACTCAGCTGCCAGAAGCACGGTGGAGATCCGGGCGGGAGGGGGGCCAGCGGAAGCAGGGTTGGGGGCAGTGGGGCTGTCCAGCGGAGATTGAGGAGGGCGGGCGGCAGAAGCAGAGCTGAGCGGGGGAGGCTAGCCTGGGGAGATTGGGAGGTGGAGGACAGGAGAACCACCCTCTGGAATCAAGGCTGTCCAAGGGACAGGGCGAGCTGGACAGGGGGTTGTCGAGGGAGCAGGGCTGACCGGGGAAGATAGGGGGGGAACTGGCCGCCGGAAGCAGGGCTGGACGGGGGCAGCAGGGCTGGACTGGGGAGATTGGGAAGAGAAGGGTGGGGGGAACGGGACTGACCCGGGCACATGAGTGAGTCCAACCCCTGGGATTCCATTTTGCCCCTTCTCCCCCCCACATACCCTCCCTCAAGTAGTTGTGAACTGCCTGGCTGGTAGACACTCTCACACAGCCTGAGCACATCTACCAGCCAGGCAGTTCGCAGCTAAGGACTGATGCACCTAATAATAATAAAACTTACCTAATTAGAAAATACCGGACATTTTATATGTCCGGTATTTTCTCAATTTGTTTCCTGGACAGAAGCCTCAAATACCGGACAAAACTGGACACCTGGAAGCCCTACCCCTCCTTGCACCCTCCCTCCTAGCCAGATACCCTATCCCCAATCTGCGCCTGCTCCCACCTCCTGGAGTGCCCATGCGGCGCCGGGTCCCTCAAGCCCTGGCTGGGCGGAGGATGCAGCTGGGTGAAACACTGAAAATGTATTCATTTTTAATTCTTTTTTTATATGTGTATATATTTTGGGCTGCAAAAAACAGTACTGAAAAAAAAACGGGTTCCTACTAAAGTAAAAAGTTTGTGAAACTCTGATCTAGCCAGCTTTCTATTCATCTTACAGTCCATGTATCTAATCCATTTTCCCTTAACTTGCTGGCAAGAATATTGTGGGTGACTGTATCAAAAGCTTTGCTAACGCTGGCACTGGGGGTTTTGGGAGGACCAGAAACAACTTAGTTGAATAGTCATAATTTGCTTAATGAATATGCAAATATGTAAATGACTGTTACTGGTCCTCCAAAAGCTCGTGAATGGATTTACTGGCCCCTGTGTCAAAAAGTTTGGGAACCCCTGATATAATGGATAACATTTGTTGTGGCTACATGATTACTAAAAAACATGTTATTTAACATCACTATATGCAACTATTTATGTTCTTTTAATTTTATTTCACTATGATGTTACTGATACATAATATCAGTATTTATGCCAACATAAAAGTGTATTTTTAATATTTAGAGTTAGCTCTTTTAAGTAAAGAGCTCTGATCCTGTCATGAGTTCCATGCAGAGCATCACTGACTTCAATGGCCGTATGTGGATGCTGAAGTCTGACTACACTGCTCATTGAAAGATTAAGGCCTAGGATTGTTAATTCCATTGAGAAGTTGTAAAGGCTAATTCTAATGTCTGATTTCCAAACGTATGCATACATATAATATGAAAATTGTTTTAAACATATTGGGACTGTTAAACTAAATATTAAAATTCTGTAAATTATACTTGGGATTTGAACTAAAACTTCATTCTGGCATTGAGATTCCAAGTGAGCATTTCAGTGTTCATAAGAAATTTTTTAGAGAGTAATACATTTATTTTATTAACATTTTTAGAATTGAAAAATGAGGTTTTTCACATATTTCAGACATGTGCTTTCTTCTTTTATGGAGTATTTTCTGACCACTAGGATGTGTTTGTTTTGAGTGTTTTAAAAGAACTTGTGATGGGAAAACTTGATTTGTGCTTCTATGCATGTGTTGTTTTAAGATAAAGCAGGTCTGAAAGAATTTCCTTTAAAAGAGGGTGTGTGGTTTTGGTTATTTAAACCCTTTGAGTGATCAGGATGAAGTGTGATCTTCCATATTTTTTCTTGACGATTCCTTGGAAGATCCACACAAGTTAATGGGAAGCTCTCAGCCCTTCTTTGAGGCAGGAGGAATATTAATATTAACAAATAACGAAGCTTCAGTGGTAGCCGAGTTAGTCTGTACAGAAAAAAACAACAAATGGTCTGGTAGCACTTTATAGACTAACAAAACATGTAGATGTTATCATGAGCTTTCTGAAGAAGTGTTCGAAGTATTCAAAGTCTTTCATGAACAATCACAACTACCACCCTCTCCTATCAAAAAGGAAAATAACCCATCACTTTCTACAGAATAGACAAATACCTGAATTTCTCTTGAAAAATTCTATTTATGTATATTTTACAAGTCACCTTTGTCTGTCACAAACTCATCACAGCTTTGAGTTGCACTTTTGTCTCTGTACACTTATGCCTAGTTTGCTATACAAAGAAATACCACTTAATACAGCAATATCAAATCAGTGGAGATTAATTCTAATGCATGTTCCAGTGTCAGTTTGTGTGGAATACTTGGTTCAGTGACTGGTCTTTTCAGCAGCCAAACTCTGCCCTCAAGTGTGCATGTGATTTTCAGTGAAGTCAGTAGGATCTGCACATGAATCTGAGGGTCTGTTAGATGACATGTGCAAAGTAATGGTTGATATAAAGTTTTTCACTACAACAAAAACTGACTATTTCTAATTTTTTTTTCTTCTAGCTCATAAGTGCTTTAGGCACATTGGAAGCACAGCGAAAATATAAATCGCTGTTAAATTGTCTGTCTCATCCTCCATCTTTCACAACTGTTAGAGTTAACACTCATTTGGCGTCAGTGGAAGAAATAAAAAATCTGCTGCTTGAAGAAATCCACAAGGTTTGTGCAGTTTTGTGTCCTGCTTATCACTAAAGATAGCTACAAGATTTCTTTTAGAGGTAGCCATGTTAGTCTGTTTCAGCAAAAACAAGGAGTCTGGTGGTACTTTAAAAGGCTAACAGATTTGTTAGTCTTTAAAGTGCCACCAAACTCTTTGTTTTTACAAAGCTTTTCAAAAACAAGTAATGGAAATAATTCTGAAACCTGATGTGTGTGCGTATACTTTCAGTTTAGTGAAAATTCTGTTAGCACTTTCAGAGTCAAATGGAAACACAGGTAGAATCAGTGAGTTAAATCCAACACTGGTCAATATCTGATGCAAAGGAAGTTAAAAATATCCATAGTGTCCTAAAAAAAATGTTCTTTCATTAACAGGAGAAAAGACACCTATTTTTTCCAAAGAACTTGTGTTTAATTGTAAATAGTTACAGACTAGTTAAAAAAAAATACTAACAATTGATTCAGAGAAACAATTTCTTCCTTGGCTTATCAGAAATGTGCACAATCCCTTGGAAAGTTAAAATCCATAAACAGGGACCATGTATTTGTATTAAAGTAGCATCTATAGTCTCAAATGAGGTTTTGGGCCCCATTGTGCTAAATGCTGTATAACCATAGAAGGAAGACACTACAATCTAGACAAGACAACAGAAATAGAAACTAGTAGTCTGAAGATATATGCAAGAAGTATAGAGTTTCTATACTTGCTTTTAATAAAAGGTGATAAAAATGAACATATGTTATAATGTCCTATTTTAGGAGTGTATGGAATTGAAAGAAACTGAGTATCCAAATAATTTGAGCAACTCCCCTGCTGGTGTAATTTAGAAAATGTTTTGACATTTAGTTAATTTTCGGATTTTTTGTTGTTGCATTTATTTTATGACTGCCTTTATCTGACAGATTATTAATTTTAAGACATAAGATCTGAAAATAGATTGTTTTGAAATCCTATTATATCTCTTCAGTATTTCTGAGTAGATCCAGTTCTTCTATAAATAAATTATTGATGGTGGTGGGTGTACGGACCACAACTGCAAGAGAGGATGAGACATTTCTCTAATGCAAAAACAGTTGATGCTACTCTATTTGCTGGTAGAGTAATGAGTTACGCCTGTTTTATTGGGGATGTTAAATGGCGATTAATCAGGTGATTGACTAGTCAATGGAATTTTCGATTAGTTTATGTGGGGGGAAGAGGGACTGCAGAGCCACCAGGCTCTTAATACATTTAAAAGGCTGAAGTGCAGCAGGGAGGAGCGAGACCAGACACAAGCCAGGAATCAGCTGTCATGGCTCGCACCGGGTGGGGATGTTAAATATTGGTTAATTGACTAGTTCATTAACCTCATGAATATGAATCTTATTGGTTACTGGATTATTCTATAGTCCCTGGCAGTGGGGCCAGCAGCCAGTGTGCTTTGGCTCCACTCGTGGGGAGCCCCCTGCCACTTCATGATGCAGCCTGTATATCAGAGGCAGCAGTGCGGAGTGCCAGGTGAGAGTTGGTCTGCGAGGGTAGCACTGGCTGCCTGCTGCCCCTGTCCAACATGGGGGGGTTGAGCTCCCAGAGCTGGTGCAAGTCAGAACTGAGTTGGGCTACCTGCCCGCCTGGCTCCTAATACACTTTAAATGCAAAGCTGCAATGGGGGTAGGTCTTGGAGCCGCTGAGAGTCAAGACTGAGCCAGGCTGCCAGCCAGCCTGCTAAAAAATTTGTGTGGGGGGATAGGAATGTGTGTCATCTATAGCTTTTGCTTATTGTTTAATCGAGTACATTATTACAGTAAAACTCCAGTTGTCTGGCATCCAGTGGTCTAGCACTCCTGATAGTCCGGCACCACCTGGAACCCGGTAGTGCTCCAGGCAGCCGGACAATTGGAGCTGCTCTGCCCCATGCTTCCCCGGGTCAGCTGCTGGTCAGTTTCAGCAGCAGCTGACTTGGGGACGCCCGGGGCAGAGCAGCTGGGGTGCTGGGTTGGTCCCATAGTGCTGCACTCCTTTTCCTCCTCCCCCTACACCAGGCCCTTCATAGCCCCCACTTCCGATAGTCCAGCATATCTGATAATCCAGCACCCCCTGGGTTCTAAAGGTGCCGGATTATCGGGGGATGCCTGGGGCAGAGCAGCAGGGGTGCTGCTGGGTTGGTCCTGCAGCGCCACCCCCTCTTCACCCCCACCCCATCCCAGGCTCCTCATAGCCTCCCCTTCTGATAGTCTTGTATATTTGATAATCCGGTACCCTCTGGGTCCTAAAGGTGCTGGATTATCGGAAGTTTACTGTAGATCCCTAGCTCCTGGTGCCCCCTGCTGCATTTGTGCTTTTAAAATGTATTAAAAGCCTGGCAGCTCTTAATACATTCAAAAGGCTAAAGCGCAGTGTGGGGACCAAGCGTGAGCTGGGACAACTGATTCCCAGCTCACTCCCAGTCCCCCACCTTGCCTCTGCCTCCTGCCCCTTGTGGAGATAGTGGTGGTGGGGAAACGGCTTTTAAGCTAGCTCCCACCAGCACTGGCTCCTGCGACCCCTGGCCCCTTTGCTTCCTGTCTCTGATAGAGGCAGTGGGGGGGGGGGGGAGCGATTAGTTGTATTTGCTTATCGGATAGTTGACTAATCGCTTACATCCCTATTTATCATTCAGTTAGTTCTAGGAATCTGGGACTGGAATTTTAGTTCAGTTGTTTTGTAAGGGAAAATGCTTTGCTAACAACATATAGCTAGCTTCCTCCTGATAGTGTAAACAGTTTTAATTCTAATTATACTCCAGAGGTAAGATTCATAATGTTAATGCTTGTTTTAACAGCATCACAAAGCATACAAATTACTTTAGAAAGAGGAAATACCTCTTTATAAAATGCTCACTGATTTCTAATTATTTGGAAAGTATGGAAAGACACCATCTTTGAAAGTCTAGAAAGAGTTTTGAAATGCAACTCGTTTCAGAGCCTTATCAAATTAATATGAAATCAGGTCTCTAACACTCAATCACATCTAATCACATTCCTGTCAGTTGAAATAAGCCATCAAAATGAGCATCATCTGATAAGTCAAATGGGAATGATGAGCACAAAAATACATTGAGCAAATCGTCATCTAATCTGAGCCTATCTTTGGCTGTTGAGTGATAGGTTTGTCTGACTGCAATATAGCCTAAGGATGTGAATGACTAGTCACTTCCCCCCCAGAAAGAGGCAGCAGGGGAGGGGAAGAGAGGGAGTGCTTCAAAGCGGCAGCGCCGAGTGGAACCCAGGGACAGACCCTGGGCTCCACGTGGCGCTGCTGCTTTGAAATACCGCGTGCAGCCCGGGGCCAGCATTTTAAAGTGGCAGTGCCGGTGTGGACCTCAGGGTCAGCTGAGGACTACTTGCGTCCCTCACTGGCCCCGTGCTCCTTGTAGCGCTTTTGCCTTTGAAGTGTAGAGATAGCCCTGGGTCTGTTGCTACATTTCAAAAGCAGAGGCGCCCTTATTGACTAATCGAATAGCTGATGCAAATTGCATTGACTGTTCAATTAGCCAATTCATCTAAATTTAACATTCCTTGTATGGCCCAGACTACTTGTTCCAGAGAAAATGGGGGAGAAGAACCCAGCCTTCAAAAGTATACTGATATTCAGGTCTCACTCCTGTGTTTTGAAATTAATCCTGTCAGTGACTCCCGGTGCGGTCTTGGCATTTCTGAATGTTCTCATTTTTCTCTGTTTTAATTTCAACGTTTATAATATATTGCATTTCCTAACATAGCTTTTTCCAACTAGTCATCACTTATACTTTATATCTGTGAATGGTAGAACAGTCTGTAAAATGAAAAAAAAAATACCAAGTACAATAAAGTATTTTTAAAAGCATTATTTGTTACTTTTTTTTTTTAATTCAACAGCAGTTTAAAGGTCTTACTGTTCCAGTTTTTCAGCACCCAGATCTCCAGGATATATTACTTATTCCTGTCATTGGACCCAGGTTTGTAATTTTCAAACTTGAATTTGTGTTACTGAGTTTCACAGTTGTTTTTGTGTTAACCAGTTTTGATAACGTGGATACTGTTAAATATGTTGTAAGTGTTTATTAAGACAAAATATGCAATAGTTGTCCTGGATAAAATTACATTTTTGATCTTTTAAAATTTAACAAAATTCTGAGGAAGTTTGAAAGTCCATAATCTTTTCTTTCTTCATTTTTTTTATAATGGACTTCATATTAGTTTTCCTTAAAATAATTTCCCCATGTCAGAACATGTTAGGAGGTGGTAGATTTCTGTTGAAGAACTACGTACTGTTTAGCAGACGGCCAAAGTATATGATCTTGCAGTACATTTGCATGTAGAAGATTAACATCAGTGTACTTAGGTAAAGTAGCATAAATGATAATGTTGAACAGGAATTTCTGAGTCATATTTATCCCCCTATGTTGATGCTCTATACCAGAGGTCAGCAACCTTTTCTAACCAAAGAGCCAAACTACATCAAAATTCCGAGCAGGTGGTCAACAAAGAGCCATTATAAGAATGCCCATTTGCCTGACTGAAAATATTTAATATTACTGATAATTGACGTGATGATTAATAATTGCATCAATGAAACGTATTCACAGACTTTATTTAATGGGACTTCTGCTGCTGTATCTTTTTGCTCATTTCTTTGACATTAACGTTATAGCTGGTCAAATTCAGCTTCATGCACACATTCAGGCTGTCTTCTGTCAGTCTTGAGGGCTTTCTGTCAGTCAAATCACCTTTGATGTTATTCAAATGAGAGAGAGCCTGCTCACACATATAGGTGAAGCCAAACATTAAAAGTAAGGCCAAGCTGACATTCTGCATGGTGTTGTATGTGACAGGAAGTTCTTTCCAAGTTTGCAGATTCAGATTATCATAATGCTCCATTTTCTTCATGTCAGCCCATTTGTGCAGTTTTGCCAATTCTGCACATTGTTGAGCAAAGCATCCTAAATCAGAATTCAACTCGATGAATTTTTCCACCCAGATATTAGACTCCTTGAAATCTACTACAGGCAGTCCCCGGGTTACGTACAAGATAGGGACTGTAGGTTTGTTCTTAAGTTGAATTTGTACGTAAGTCGGAACTGGCGTACAGATTCAGCCGCTGCTGAAACTGACCAGCGGCTGACTACGGGAAGCCCGAGGCAGAGTTCAGAATTCAACTCGATGAATTTTTCCACCCAGATATTAGACTCCTTGAAATCTACTACAGGCAGTCCCCGGGTTACGTACAAGATAGGGACTGTAGGTTTGTTCTTAAGTTGAATTTGTACGTAAGTCGGAACTGGCGTACAGATTCAGCCGCTGCTGAAACTGACCAGCGGCTGACTACGGGAAGCCCGAGGCAGAGTTTCTCTGCCCCGGGCTTCCTGGAATCAGCCGCTGATCAGTTTCAACAGCAGCTGAATCTGGATGCCTGGGAC